GGGGAGGGTGGGGAGGGGTGGGGAGGGGAGGGGTGGGAGGGGTGGGGAGGGGTGGGGTAGGGAGGGGTGGGGAGGGGAGGGGTGGGGAGGGGTGGGGAGGGGTGGGGAGGGGTGGGGTGGGGTGGGATGGGGAGGGGTGGGGAGGGGTGGGGTAGGGAGGGGTGGGGAGGGAAGGGGTGGGGAGGGGTGGGGAGGGGTGGGGTGGGGAGGGGTGGGGTGGGGAGGGGTGGGGAGGGGTGGGGAGGGGTGGAGTGGGGAGGGGTGGGGAGGTGAGGGGTGGGGTGGGGTGGGGAGGGGTGGGGAGAGGTGGGGTGGGGAGGGGTGGGGTGGGGTGGGGAGGGGTGGGGTGGGGAGGGGTGGGGAGGTGAGGGGTGGGGAGGGGTGGGGAGGGGTGGGGAGGTGAGGGGTGGGGAGGGGTGGGGAGGGGTGGGGAGGTGAGGGGTGGGGAGGGGTGGGGAGGGGTGGGGAGGTGAGGGGTGGGAATCCTCCCGCTGCCCCCCCTGCCCCGCCCCCCCCGAGGAACGAGGGCGCCGCAAGACCCCCAGACCACGACGAGGCTTCGCGCGTTTGGCCACGCAACGATCTGGACAACATTAGTTCGCGCCGCAGGACCCTCCACCACCCGACACGACCAAACGAATTTAACTGGGAGGGGGGGCGGAGTAGGGGCCGTCCATAAATGACGTCACTCGATTTTGGACAATTTTTGACCCCCCCCCCCCCCCCATCGTCACACGGCGTCACAAAAAATCAGACCCCCCCCCCCTCAAATATGACGTCACAAAGCTCTGCCTCCCCCCCCCCCCCCCAAAAATAAAACATGCTTCAAATCGCTTTAAACTATTGTCATTGTAGTGCGTATTTAATGTGTCGTTGCACTCTGATGTTGTAGGAGAAAACATTAGAAAGTCTATTTAATTAAGTAGAACGCGTTGTTTATATTTATAGTTGCACATTTTGATGTGACGTCACACATCGTCACAAATGTCTGACACCCCCCACCCGCAGGTGCGTGACGTCATTTATGAACGGCCCCAAAGGGTCGCGGAAAACGAACTGCTCAGTTTAGCTGCAAAACAAACAAACAAACGTTTCTCCGACTCTACCAGCGAGAACGCGCCCGCAAAAAAACGATCATCACCGTTGGAGGTTAAACGCCCGCACACGTGGCAATTTAAGTTGCTTGCCTACGTCAGGTGTTGGTTGGACGTCTCCTCGACGTCACAAAGCGTGGGGCCCAGCTAACCACGTGACCTTAACCCGCCCCCCCTCCCCGCAAAAAAAAACATTAAAAAAAGAAAAATCGATGACGAATCGTAAAATCGTCGCTGCGAAAATCGACTCCGCGTAGAGTTCAACGTCTCCAGCTGTGAGAGGCGATTTCGCTCGGATCGGTGCTATCTTCAATGTAAGGCCTCGCGGGGCCACAGCCGGCCCCTCGTGGCCTTGAGTGCAGGCCCTGACGTGGGCCTCCCCCCCCCCCCACAATTACTAAGAAGCCAAAAATGTGTCCCGCGCGTGACGTCACTCCACATGAGCACGCCCCCCCCCCCCCCCTCATTAATAATCATGAGCGGGTAACGTCACTCCACATGCCTCACCCCTCGCCCTCATTAATAATCATGAGCGGATGACGGGAGGCACCCCCCCCCCCCTTTATTAAAAATCATTATCGGGTGACGTCACTCCACATGGGGCACCCCCCCTCATTAATAATCATGAGCGGATGACGTCACTCCACATGGAACTCCCCCCCCCCCCCCCATCAATCATTAGCCACTCATTTGGATACCCGCCCCGAAACCTCATTAACAATCATGAGCCGGTCATGATTTTCGTTTGAATATTTCAGATTGACTGCAATATTCACCCGTCCTGGGACGGCTATATAGGCGGGTACACAAGTAATGAAAATGTCAGGCAGGCAGGGTGGCAGCAGCCCTTGTGTTGATGTCTCACCGGCCAAAGTGGCACCCCCCCCCCCCCCCGTGTTCCCTCCCCTCTGAAACTGAGTGAAGAAACTCTGCTGTAGAATTGTCACTGCACGTGTAGCGGCGGCGACGACGCTACCTGACGAAACGTGATCGGATGGTGGGGGGGGGGGCCCAAGACATCAACATGACTCTCGTCAACGGACCGGAGTTTCCCTGCCACATGAAACGTGCGGACGTTTAAAAACATCGATGATGACGATAACGACGAAAATAAAACGTCGGTTTAACACGCAGGCTTTCGCGACCAATATCATCCATAATATGGTTTTTAAATCCTTTATATTAAGTTCACTTGCTTGCTTGCGCGCTTACGACCGTGCAAATCTTTCGGTCGTTTTTTAACCCACTTCCCGTGATCCAATCGAGCTGACATTTTGCACACAGACTCGTTGTGCGTGACAATTTTCGCGAAAAATGTTTTCCAAAATTTTACACTGTTTAGGAATTTTTTTTTAAATATTTAATTACCAATTGCTTAATGCTGGCAGAAAATCATCTGACCCATAGGTGGCAGCCATCTCAAGCCAGAGGACGAGAGGACTCTAGCCGCCACGCATATAAAGGATTTATAGTGAAAAACTTTGTTTTTACGGGTTACATTTTTTTTTGTGTTAGACCGCGTATTTATGCGTGTAAACTGCAAGCGTAAACAGACCGCACGTGTCGCACAAAGCACGCGGCTTCACAGCGCTCCTGACCAAGGACTCTAAATGTTATGGGCGATCTGCAAACCGTGCACTGTGGTGCAAAACGTCACAGGTTTGGTCTCAAGGAAGGTCAGGAAAATGCACGATCTCACCAAAACAAAAGAAAACCGATATTATGGAGAAAACCTATGCGACATTTCTACTCGAGGCGAAAAGTATTATTACATCAACGCTTGCATTAAAGCATCGTGTGTTTCGTGGCTGCAAAGGACCATATTCTTGGTTATTTCGATAAAGTCACGTAGATAAAAAAAATATATACATTTTATTTTATTCTTTTTATTTTCTATCTGAGTGACTTTACCGAAAGAACCAAGAATATGAATTCCTGCAGTCACGAAAGTTTGAAGTCAAAATGCAAAGGACCATTTTGAGAACACGACACAAATCAGCAGACAGTTTGCCCCCCCCCCTCCACCCCCTCATATTGGTCCCTCCACAAAGATATATATTTTTTACACATCACATCAGCCACATTAACTTCTGAGTGCATCATTTTCAGCAACGCCGGTTGAACGCAAGCGAAGCTCTGGAGCAGTTTCAACAAACTATTTGGGTCTTTCGGTAAAGTCACGCAGATAGGTTCAAAATAAAATAACGAAAAATTACGACGTTTCGATCGCAACACAAACGGTCGTCATCTACGTGACTTTACCGAATGACCCAAAGAATATGAATCCCTGCAGTCAGGAAAGCTTCAAGTCAGTTTCAGCATGCAGTGTCTCACCAGCAGTCAGCCTTGCTCAAACTGATGCTGGTGAACTGCTAGATCTTCTTGGTTCTTTCGGTAAAGTCACGTAGAAGGGAAATAATAAAATAATAAAAATAAAACAATAAAATAACTCTCACGACGTTTCGGCCACAACGCAAGCAGCCGTCCTCAGGTGAAGAACAGGTCTGTCGGAAAGACAGCGTCCCTTCTACGCGACTTTACCGAAAGAACCAAGAAGATGAATCCCTGCAGTCACGAAAGCTTGAAATCGAACTGCCAGATGTTCATCGACAAAGGAGCCTCTCAGCTCGGTATGGGTTTGCTAGATTAACGCGAAATAATATCGAACACAAAGTAATCATGCGCGTCGCCCGAATGTTAAAACCGGTTCAGAATTTTGCCGCTGAAATTCCGCACTCTCAGAAGGTCGTGTGGCTGCTGGGATGTGTAAAAAAAAAAGTTTATATTCTTTACGTGGAGAGAGACATGTGTGAAGGAGTCGGATCGTCCGCATGTTAAATAGTGCTATTGCGTTGACGCGAAAGGTTATTTCGCGTATAAACCGCAGGCGTAAACACGCCGCACGCATCGCACAAAGGCGTGCGGCTACACGGCGCTCCTGACCAAGGGACTTCAAAACGTTACAGGTTCGGCGATCTGCAAACCGTGGCAAACGTCACAGGTTTGGTCTCAAGTATGGGCAGGAAAGTGCGACGAAGCAAAATTAAAAAACAACAACAATAACAACTGCACGGGCTCTCTGTCTCCTGCATCCACCACCCCGGGGGGATTCGACCACTGCCCGCTCCTCGTTCACGCAAAACAAAACGTCAGGTGTTGGTTGGACGTGTCCTCGACGTCACAAAGCGTGGGGCCCAGATAATCACGTGGCCTTAACCGCCCCCCCCCCCCCGACCCCGCAAAAAAAACATTTAAAAAAAGAAAAATCGATGACGAATCGCTGCGAAAACCGACTCCGCGTCGAGTTCACCGTCTCCGGCTGTCAGGTTGGCATAGGACCACGGTGACTGCTGCCGTGACTCTCACTCACCCACTCAGCAACTCGCATACCGTGTCAACCCATACCGGTTTACCCCGTATTCTTGTACGGGGAAATTGAGTTTTCAGGTCCATACGGCGTACAGCCGTTTCAATACAGGGAAACAATTTTGTTTGTCTATTTGTTTGTGTTTCTCCATTCTGATGGAACTTTGTAGGATGAACGTTGCCATTTGTAAGGGCATGGAGTGGCCAATAATGTCTGAATTGGTCTGTAATAAGGTAGGGCACTGATAAGGGGTTGACAGATATGGTAACTCCCTCCCCTCACTCATCCACACACTGGACATCTGTGAAAATAGTGGACATTTGGGAAGAAAGAGCTTCATAGCTCATCGGATTTTTCCAGGATAAATAAAGATTCTGATTCACACTAGCTCACACACTCACACATCCGTCCACCATTTCCCTGACCCACTCTCCACACCGCAGGTCACCTCACCCCTCTCTCTCTGCTTCTTCCCTCGCACGGCTCCACTGTGGAATCTCCCCCCCCCCCCCCCCCCCATCGTCGTCTTTTCCCCCAAGTTCCAAAACAACGACCTTACTCAACTCAAGAAACGTGTCACGCTCTTTATCGAGTACAACTTTTACTCGCGCTGCTCATTGCTGGCCGCTTGACGTTTTCGGCCTGTGCACAGTAACAGTTTAAAAAAAAATAGAAAAAAAACACAGCTACGTGGTGCCGGGGAGTCACTTGTGGTGGTGACCTTTGACCCCTCGGATGAGAAACATCACTTTAATAAATAACGCATAAATAAAACAAAACACGCAAATTCACGGAGGTTTTTTTGGGGAAAAAAATAACTTAGTCGGATTCCCCCCGCCCCCCCCCCACGTTATTTTGGAAACGCTAAATCTTTTGGCGTTCAAAACCTTTCCCCGGTAAAACCGCTGCATGTTTGCGCTCGAACATGTCGACAAGTTCCGGCTTAATTCTCACCCCTACAGCTACCGGGATTTGTAACACGCACCCCCAACTTATGCTCTGAAGTACAGATTAAAAAAAAAATATGCGCGTCTTATAATCGGAGAATATGGCGATTGTATTGTTCACCAGCGCGCAACGGGGGTTGGAACACGCGGATCTTTCCGCGCGTTCTACTAAAGTAATCGGATTACTCTCTCCACGCATTTTGCGGTAAAGCGAGCCACCGAGTCACTGACCCCTGCCCCCCGCACGGGGGCGAGTGAGGAGCAGCTGATAATTAAACAGGCGCCCGTCCGTTAGTTTAACGTACTCGTATGTCACGGGCGTGGGTACTCCGGCTACCCGCACGACGATCGGCAGTGGCTTGCGCGGCGGTGGCGTCGTCATCGTCTGCATTTAAAAACCAAAAATGAGGACCCTGTGCTTCCCGGGGGGACCCTGTCATTCGACCGCGGGTGGCGCTCCCGTCCCCGCAGCCGCGCCCGCGCGCAAAAACTCGGCCGCACGCGAGGGAATCGCCGACGCGTGGAGCCACGCTCGGCTGCTTGAGTGACGGAGGCACCGTCGCGCTTGGGAATTGCTCGTGCGACGCCGGCCGGCCGCTACGATCCCCGAGCGCAGGCCGCCCTCGCTCGGACGTCCGCCGAGCGGATGCAGGGCGACTGGGTCGCGCGAGCCGGTTTCACGGCGCGCGGAGTTCGTCACGGTTCTCGCGTGGCGCTCTGCACACAGCAACAACAGCCACCGGAATGACACGTGAAGCACGCACAACACACCGTCGGCATCATTGTGCGGTGAGCGAGTGGGTGGGTGTGCGTGTGTGTGTGAGATAGTGAACTCAGGGCGGGGGTGAGTGAGTGGGTGAGTGAATGGGAGAGTGAGTGGGTGAGTGAGTGGATTAATGAATGAATGGGAGAGTGAGTGAGTGGGTGGGTGAGTGAGTGGGATAGTGAACTCCGGGAAGGATGAGAGGGTGAGTGAGTGAGCCCATGAGAGGCGAGGGGAAAGCGAGTTGTAAATGAATGGAGGAGTGAGGCGGTGAATGAGTGGTTTAGTAAGCTCGCAAGGAGGGGGTGAGAGCATGACCAGCACATGGGTGGGTTAGTGAGCTGGTGTGTGGTGAGCATGGTGGACAGCATGTGGGTGAGTCAGCTTACCGAGTGTCCATCTCCATTTGTACTCGTCCTGTCTGCATCCAGGTGAACAGATTCCAACTTGCAGCCTGAGCAACAGGCACAGAAGACATCACCGTTTTACTAGATTACGTACGAGGCTCTGGAGATCACCGACTCCCCACCCACACACCCACCTAGCCTGGTTTAACGGGGCTAGATTGTGTGAGGAGCTCACAAATCCTTGAAACATCTGGATACAGTCCCATCAGTGAGCTCCTCCGGCAGGCGAGGCTGCGTTGGCCCGGTCATGTAGCCCACATTCCCAGCCACTGCACGCCCAAGCAGCTTGTGTTTGGCCAGATAGATCGAGCTGGATAGAGAGGGGCTAAACGGGTGTGGCACGGGCCAGAGAAGACATGGACTTATATGGTACAAGAGGATGTGGAGCTGAGTAGATTTGCTGAAGACTGGTACCAGCGGTGTCAAGATCGGCCACTATGGAGAAGGCTCCTGAAGGATGCTACTGGGTAGTTGGAGGCGGTCGCCCTCCAATAGCAGCATTGGGCAGATAAGCGACGCCCACAATCAGTGGAACACCAGCCGGCTAAAACTCGTTGGCACAAAGTGGAGCACAGGTGGTGCATCTGCCAGTCATATCAGTCAACTCATGGCACATGGGACTGTCACGTGAATTGCCACCGAGCCTCCCAACAGCTCACGTGGCCTCAAAGTGCACCTACCCAGGCACAACCACCATGGTGACATTACCCCCCAACAACAGCCGTGAATGGCGGCTGTTGTTGTATGTGTGTGCGTGTGCGATTGTTAGTGCGGGGAGTGTTGGCGCAGTGGTTAGCGCACTGTGCTACAAACCCGGCGGCCCGCGTTCAATTCCCGCTCTGAGCCATGATGATTATCCGAACCAGTCATGGGCCTCCCCTCGGTCGACAGAGGTATAAATGAGTACCCATCGGTGTGTAATAATCGCCACTTGGGAGACAAAGGCGGTCGGGAGTGGTGCTGGCCACATCATCCCGTCGTGCGGCACGTGTTGGCCTTCATAGGTGCTCACTAACAGCACTTGCGCCGAGAGCCCACGTAGACTATGCCGGGGGATCGTTGTCCGCGTGCGAGACTCACCGTAGGCTGCCGGCGTGAGCTTGAACACGGTGTGCAGCGGGCACTTGAGGTAGGGCAGCTCGTCTAGGGGGAGGCACGCAAGAGGGTCAACCCCACCCGGTCAACTCTCAAACCGAGACGCTCACACACACCACACGCTCGCTCGCTCACACACACACACACACGCTCACACACACTCGCACACACGCACGCTCACACACACGCACGCTCGCTCGCTCGCACACACACGCACACACACACGCTCGCTCACACGCACGCACACACTCGCTCACACGCACGCACACACACACACCACACGCTCGCTCACACACACCACACGCTCGCACACACACACACACGCTCACACTCGCTCACACACACACGCACGCTCACACACACACACACACACACGCACGCTCACACACACACACACACGCTCGCTCACACACGCTCACACATACACACGCTCGCTCGCTCAAACACTCGCAGCACGGGACGATCCCCCAGACTCGCCGTCATGCCGCCAGGCTCTACTCATTTATACCGGTAATCACAACTCGTCCGCACGAAATCTACAACTCTTACGGCCACGGGACAACACTCTGTGGCTGCAAGAGCTGCAGATGTCGGCGACACGGCGCCCTGGGGCGGCTCCCCTCCACCCCCTTCCCCCACTTCGCCAATTTTTTTTTTCCAAAGAGTAAAGGGGTTCAGGGCTGGGTAGTGGAGGAAGTCGTGTCGAGGGGGAATGGGGCGGGGGAGGGCAGTACCTGCCCCCTTGTCGAGGAAGTACGCGAGCAGGCAGCGCAGCACGGCCTGGTGGCACACGACCAGCACGTTCTCCTGCCGCTCCAGCTCCATGATGACCGGCTCCAGCCGCTGCACCAGGTCCTGGTACGACTACGGCGGCGGGGGAGAGAAGGAAGAGGAGACGTGGCAAATCGTCAACGTTGTGACTACATGCCACAGTCGAAAATCATCAATGTGATTACATGCCACAGTGAGTAGGTGGGTGGGCGAGTGGGTGGGCGAGTGTTTGGGTGGGTGGGCAAGCGGTTGGGTGGGTGGGCGAGGGGCTGGGTGGGTGGGCGAGTGTTTGGGTGGGTGGGAAAGCAGTTGGGTGGGTGGGAGAGTGTTTGGGTGGGTGGGCGAGTGGTTGGGTGGGTGGACGAGTTTTTGGGTGGGTGGGAAAGCAGTTGGGTGGGTGGGCGAGTGTTGGGTGGGTGGGTGGGTGGGCGAGCGGTTGGGTGGGTGGGCGAGCGTTTGGGTGGGTGGGCGAGCGGTTGGGTGGGTGGGCGAGTGTTTGGGTGGGTGGGTGGGCGAGTGTTTGGGTGGGTGGGTGGGCGAGCGGTTGGGTGGGTGGGCGAGTGTTTGGGTGGGTGGGCGAGCGGTTGGGTGGGTGGTCGAGCGGTTGGGTGGGTGGGCGAGGGGCTGAGTGGGTGGGTGAGTGGGTGAGCTCACCTCCCCGTTGGGGTAGCGGTAGTGGTATTTGCTGGCGGCGCGGAGAGAGAATTCTTCAGGGAACCTCTGCTTAATTTCATCGTAGGTCATCTCCTCGCAAATCCCCTGCACGGCGCACGCATGCAAAAGCACAGTGAGAGAGATTCCCGCGTGTAGCCGCTGGGGCAGCCGCTGCGAGCGAGCACCTTCCGAAAGCTCGGACCGCTCGCACGGGCGGCTACACCTTGCCGTCGAGTCACCGATCGGCGGGCAAAGTGGCGAGGGTCGCGGGGGGGGGGGGGCAGGGAGGACTCACGGCATCCAGCTCGTTGAGGGGCTTCCACTGCTCGTAGGGCAGCGCGAGCGCCTCGGCCGTCTGGATGGCGCGGCGCAGTTGGCTGGTCCACACGCGCAGCGCCAGCGGGTTCTGCTCCTCCACGTAGCGGCACAGCGCGCCAGCAAACTACGCACGCGCACAAAAGACAAGGGTGCCCCGTGTGGCCTACGCAGACTGCTGGGGCAAGTGCTCTTCGAGAGCACCTATGGAGGCCGGCACAGAACGCGAGGGGGTGGGTGGCCAGCACCACGTCCGAGTGGCGATGTTTACACACCGCATCAGGTACTCATTTGAGGCCGAGTTGAGCTCAGGGAGGCCCAGGACTGGTTAAGATAATCGTCACCGGTGTTGGCCGTGAGCAGGAATCGAACTCGGTCGCCAGGTTCTTAGCGTAGGGCGCCAACCGCTACACTGACGTTGTTTTTCTCCACCAATACCAATACCCTCCATTTGCCACCAAGTGACGGTGACGTCACCACAGCGCCTGTGCCAGGGCAGGTTCCCTTTGAGGTCACGTGAAGTGTCCAAGGCTCGCTGACAGGAGGTCACGGGGACAGACCCAGGTGTCACGGGTTGACCGACTTGAGACGACTGCCAAATGCACCAGCTGTGCCCCCTACTGTGCAAACTTGCTGCGTTTTAGCCGCCCGGCGCTCCGCTAGTTGTTGCGAGCGTCGCTCCTCTGCCCTCCGTTTTTGCTGGAGGGCCACTGTCTTCCGGCTTCTCCACACGGACATGCGCACGGAGAGAGGCAGGGCAGCCGCCGTGAACCGCACGCGTGCACATGCACGCCACCGTACCTGGCGGCCGTGCGCCGTGAGGCCCTGGTCCCCGCCAATGCGGCCCTGCACGTTGCTGTCGCTCTCGCCGTGGCGGCACAGCAGGATGGAGCGCGGCTGCACGTGGATGTTCATGAGGTAGTAGGCGATGCGGCTCTGCACGTGGTCGCGCACGCGGTTCACCAGGAAGCGCTGCCCCACGTTGATGATCTTGATGTAGGACAGCTCGCTGGGGTGGCCGCGTGGGCAGGGGGGTGGGACAGGACAACGAGACAGTTCAGTCCGCGCCGGGTACGGGTAGCCGGGTATCGGGTAGAGCACGGGTATCGGGTACCTGGTAGCAACCTCTGCCAGGTACTGGCTCAACCCGCTAAGTGCCCCCTATAGGTAGGTAGTGGGTACTGGCCGGAGATGGTGTATGTTCGCCTAATAACACCATCACACATGTATGTTGAACTTCTTTCGCACCGTTCGTAGCCTTCGCAGGTCGACTCCGTGCAGTTATCGCCCCCTCCTCACCTGTCCACCTCGTCGTCGATGGGCTGGTAGGCGGTCTTGTAGCACTCGATGCGCTTGATGAAATCGTCCCGCGCTGTCTCCAGGTCGAAGTCCTTGTAGTCCGGGCTGCTCAGCTTCACTTCCTGTCGCCCCATAGCACACACACACACACACGCAGGCACGAAAGCACGCCCCGTGCACCGTGCGTTGCGGAGTTTAGCTTTGCTGATGTCGTCTTTGCAATCTTTTAGGCTCAATTCACATTGAAGTGACACTTTGGTCCACGTACAGTACAGGAGTACCCCCAGATGTATGTTAATTCTATTTACGACGATTCGTTTTTAGGTTCGTCACATATGAAAATAGGTTTTCCCCTTTTTTCTGGCAACAAAACAGTTGTGTTAAGATGTTAAAACACCAAACTGAAACCTTTTACAAGGAATTATGTTTGCATTAACCACAATGCTTGTGGTTAGAATGCAAACCAAAAACGTACTCTGATAATACAGTGCATTGTCTTTGAAACTGATTGGTCCACACCAGAGACAGCTTTCTTTTGAGCCTCATCTCAAAACGGTGTAAGACCAGTGGATGCCAAAAGGCATACAGCACAAAGACAAACATATTGTGGTACTGGCAAAGGACGGTCCCATGATGGAGATGTTCGTCACAAATGTTAAAATTTTCTTCGGTATACTTCTTGTCCGTTTCGTTATTAATTATTTCTTTCATTTATTTTATTATAAATGATATTCTTTCGATGGAAAATTACCCGTAGTAAATGCACATTAAGCCGTTTGCCCGTGCACGCATTTTCACACATTTCGTACAATTCCAATTGTTCTGGTCTCGTTCCCCGCACCAGCGCCGAGCTAGGCCCCGGCACGGTGCCGGGGTCCCCACTAGTGACGCGATGGGCCCACGGTCGCCAGAGGTCGCAAACGGGTTTTGATTCCTTACCCGTACCCGGCCGCACCAGGGTCACAAACGGGTACCCGTACCCGGCCGTACCCGTACGGGTATCGGGTACCTGATTGCGACCTCTGGGATGAAGCCATGTTGCAGGCGCGGGTGGGTTGATTCTAGGAACTTGAATTGTGAGAAGAGACAAGACGTTGGGAAATGAGCGAAAAAACGGTTACTCACCAGTGACTCACGGCCCTACCCGTACCCGTACCCGGCCGCACCAGGGCGACTGTCA